GCTGCCATAAGTAATGTCCCTTTGCTGTTGTACATAGAGTATCCTGCCCTATATACCAGCGACAAATGCCCTGATCACTTTGCTTTTTACATTAAAATGTTGTTGTAGGGGCAGAATAAAACATATCACAAGGTGAAGCCCCAAGTGAGCTCACAACACTATTATTATATTATTATGTATGCATCTAATTATTTGCCCATCAATACAAACACAGAAGACAAGGGCCCAGCCTCAAAGAGGCTACAATCACAATTAGATGGAAACAATACAAACCATTAATAATAATACTTACCACATCTAAATGATTTCCCATCCAGAGATCTCTAAGCACTTTACAAAAACCCAACGTATCATTATACCCATTGTACTGAAGGAAAATTGAGACACTGAGAAGTTATGTGACCTCTCTAAGATTACACAACGACTTATGAGCAGATCCAGGAACAGAAACCTGGTTTTGTGGCTCCCAGTCCTGTTTGCCATCTCCAGCCTCCCTGAAGAATTAAGGGCTCAGTTCCACTCTTGTTTAAGTCAGTGGATATTTGGCATTGATTTCACTGAGACCTGGATCGGGCCTCATGTGGGAAAATGGGAACAGCAGGCGGGGATCATCAATGGTAAGCTAAGCAAAATAAACATATGAAGGATGTTCCAGTGGTTAAGGTGCTAACCTGAAATTTGGCAGACTCAGGTTGTCACATACTTCCTGTGGACCTCGGGCAAGTCACTTAGTTTCTCTCTCTATTTCCCCATCTATAATTTGGTGGGAAGGGGTGGTTACACTACTTCCCAATTTCAAAGGGATGTTGTGAGGATAAAAACTGAGAGGCACTCAAGTAATCGGGGGCCAAATAAGGACATTTCATGGAAAAGTATCCTAATGTTTTCAATATATATATTTTTGTAATATAAATATAAATGCATCATCTCTTCCCCCCCCCCCCAATGGAACAGCCCATTGGACACTGCGTGCAATAATATTCCTTCCGCTGTGTTTCAGGATGGTTAGCTAATTGAGTAACCCAGTGAGCTGCATTTCTGATTATTATAGGCCGGGCTGGTAGGATAGCCTGTTATTAAGGTTGCTCATCACTTCCCCATTACATGATCCTATTTTCAGTTACTTACCACTTTGCCAAATGTTTACCATTTGGGCTGAAATTTTCCATGCTGGGTTTCTGCCTCAGGTTGTATTTTTTTTTTTTGGTGGTTGGGAGGAATTTCAGGAAAATAGTTCATCTCTTGCCAAGAATGACGTCAGGGCAAAATAGGTTGTTTTGCCTATGTCAAAAAATGTTGGTGACCTAATATCTGGAAGGCTCTAGCATCTCTATGTTTTGGAGCAGGGACTTGAAATTTGACCTTTGTGTCAGTGATGTGCCTTTTGTCATCCCTGTAAAATCCCCTCAAATTTTAACCTTTGAAAAATTACAGTTTGCACCTGCTCAGTAGAGATTTAGATTTTAGCCGCTAAATATCCTAGAGATTCCATCTGCACTGAGCATGCTCCAGCCTAGTGCTGAATAGAACTTTCCCTGCAACTGCAGCTCTGGGCTGTTGCGGGTTGTGTCAGGTTTGGGCACCTGAACTGAGAGCAGGGATACCATCTTTCGTGTGCTCTGAATGAGCCCTCTGCTGGGCCCAGCCAGTGAGGAGGAGGAAGCAGTCTGATTTGAATGCAGAGGGGGCAAGGGGAAGACCTGTGAAGCGTAGGATTGGCTATGTGAATGAGACTGGGACAAACAGCCAGGGGTAGGGAAGATACAGGACTGGGACAGGGACAGGCTGGAAGGGATGGGGGCGGGGCAGGAAGGAGTCAAGCGTGGGGTGGAAGAGTCTGTACCCTAGAATACACTCCCCTTAAGATCCTGGAATGGAACCCAAGTTTCCTGAGTCTCATCATGCCTCTGTGTCAGCAAATATCTGAGAAACCCACTGGCAAAATGTCCCACCCCCTTCCAGCGCTAGTTCACATACAGTGTGACAACCTGCTACTGCTCTCCGTTACTCCATTAGCTCATGTGGCAGCGGGCTGTGATTCTGTAGGTTCCAACCCAGCTGATGACCCATAGGGGTGTTAATCTGATGCCAAATGATGGAATTCCTGTTTTTTCAATTTGCTCTTTTAAAAAGCTAGGAAATTACAGAAGCCTTCAAGGAGGAAATTAAACAAACACCACCTACATTAAAAGAATATTATTACGGTTGCAAAGTCAGGCATGCAATGGACCTATAGAAAACAGCCTCCTTGATTCATCCCTCAAGCAGGTCCATTCTGTGCACCGAATAAGGTCGGAGTCCTGTTGAAAAAATAGTAGGTGATCATGTAAATAAAGACTGTACCATAATTCATAGGCAAAAGGGGACCAAATTCAGGGTGCAGTCAAAATTAATCCTGTCATTTCTAACTTCTTGGTGCAACCGTAGTGTTCTTTTCATGTATTTTTTCGTGTGTAATAATATATAATTTCTACACAATATTTTTCATTATAGTATATAAATAGGCACTTATATGAACTGCGTTAATTTTACACGTGAGCATTATTAGTTGGCAAGGCATTGATGATGCTATAATAAACAAATTGTCTCTAATACATACTAGTTTAGTACCGTGATGTTACCTTTTTAATGTCACAGTAGCCCCAATGGTTACAATGACTGTTGTATATTGGCAAGAGTCACTGCAACCCCATCTGTCTGTCTCTGATTTAAAAAAAAAAAACTTTAAAATCTACCAGAACTGCTGTTTCAGTGCAGGGTATCAGGTCTTAAGTGGCTTAGGGGGGACAAGGAGCAGAGATCATCAGGGAAAAATCTTGGCCTTAATTATAGTAAATATTTCCATGATTGGAGACTAGCCTCCAAAGAACATGGTGTCATATTGAAAGTGCCCTAATCACCCGAAAAATCAGAGTGGCAAATCTCTTCTCCCGAAACTCAGAAATGCCACCACTCTTAACACTTTCTGTAACATAGATTAAAGAAGGGATTTACAACAGCTGATAAATCTGTATTAAATGTCCAATCTCCATGGTATCTAGATTATATGAATGGTCACATTATTACTGAGATTGTAAGTAATTTGGGGCATGTCTTCTTTTTGTCTTAGCTGCTATAATAGTAGTAAATAAATAACCATTTATTGAGGGCCATTATTGCATTTGGTGCTCTCTCTGCCAAACATAGGTGAAAACATCCCTGCCCTAAGGGGCTTACAAAATAACACTCAGAGGGGTCATGTCCTTTCTGGCTTCAGTCAAGGATCCTCAGCAGCTCGGGTGGGGGTGTGTGTGTGAGGGGTCGGAGTTTGGGTTGTGTGTCATATAGCCCCAAATTGGACAGACAAGTTTTGCCAGTGACTCCAATAGGAAGAGGACTTGATCCTAAATGGCCAGCTATAATTAGGAATCATTTAAGGACACCTTAGTAGATTCCCAAAAAGCCATAGTCCCACAGTTGAGGAAGATACTGTGCTGGTTAAAAAAAACAAACTGGTTTAGAGAAGAAGTGAAGGAAGCTGTAAAAAATAATAGTATAACAAATAGAAGAAAGAGGAAGTTGATAGTGACAGTGACTCTGAAAAACATTTGGGGATTTTGGTGGATAATCATCTGAATAGAGACAACCTGTGCCTGCTGATATGGGGGAGGAGGGCAGAGTGAGGGCAGCTGGCTTCAGCAGTGTTACTGAGCATGCTCAGTCCGTATAAGCATGCTCAGTACAAGCCAAGCAGCAAATCTGGGGGTGGGGTGGGGGGGGGAGGAGGAACGTGACTCTGCATGTCCCCCACCCCCGTCACCTCTGCAGCTGAATATGAGCTTCCAGTGTGATGATATGCCCAAAACAGTTAATGTGATCCAGAGATGCGTAAACGGGAATCTCAAATAGGAGTAAAGAAGTTATTTTACCTCTAGATTTAGCACTGCTGGAATACTGTGTCCAATTCTGGAGCCTACAATTCAAAAAGGATGTTGATGAATTGGAGAGGGTTCAGAGAAGAGCTGCGAGAATGAGTAAAGGATTAGAAAACATGCCTTATAGACTGAAGGAGCTCAATCTGTTTTGTTTAACAAAGAGTAGGTGAACGGATGGCTTGATTACAGTCTTTAAGTAGCTACATGGGGAACACATATTTAATAATAGGCTCTTCAGTCTAACAGAGGAAGATATAACGTGACCCAATGGTTGGAAGTTAAAGCTAGACAAATTCAGAGTGGAAATAAGGTGTAAATTTTTAACGGTGAGCGTAATTAATAATTGGAACAATTTACTAAGGTCATGTTAGATTCTCCATCACTGACAATTTTTAAATCAAATTGGATGTTTTTCTAAACTATATGCTCTAGGAGTTATTTTAGGGGAAGTTCTATGAGCTGCGCTATGCAGGAGGTCAGACTAGATGAGCATAATGGTCCCTTCTGGCTTTAGAATCTATGAATCTAGTCATACATAGATGTACAGAATTGGTTTTAGAGTGAAGTTTCATGTAAGAAATCAGTTTTCTGAGAGATTTGAATGATCAGGATGGATGTTTGGTGCACAAAGTGTGGGATAGAGTTGTGTACATAACGGGTGGCATGGGAGAAGGATACAAAGAGGGTTGGAAGCAGAGCCAGCATAGGGTGGAGTGTAATCACTGGAAGAAGGAGGAGATGAAGGCTACACTGTAGGCAAGGCTTGAGGTGCATAGAGGTGAGGAGGTGAGGATGGGAAACTTAGATGCCTTCAATCCTTTTCTTGTGCCATCTGCTTCCTAGCACAGCCTGAGCTTTTGTTCCATTTGTTATAAATTAAACCCTTCAATGGAAAATATTTTCACTGAAAGTACATTTTGGAAAAGGATGTTAGAAGTTGCAGAAGGGAGAGGAAACCGACTGCCTAAGATGCAGTTGTCCTGCTTCATAGAGAGCCTCCTTCCAGTGCAAAAGGACTGGCTTGTATTTTGCTCACCCAACAGATACCAGAGGGAGAGAAAAGCCCACACAACTGCTGCCTGGCTT